GCATATTGCTTTAAAGTTTCCTCATTCTCGATTTGTAGGGCTCCTAACTGTTCTCGAATCGGAGCTGTAAGAACCCGCACCGGTAATTTAGGAATTTAATTAATAAATTGTTAGATTAATGAGATAATTTCATAATTGACCCTAATAATTATGAGAAGGCTTAAATAATTATAGTAAGTGATTAATAATGTGGAAAGTCACTTTTCTGACGAAAAGTGCAGATACCGATTCTGCTCCAAGGTATAAATGCGTATCGATGAAGTGTCCCGAAAAATTATGAAAAGTATGTATATGTCACTAGAATAATATATAGGACTAGCATAACAAGTTTCAGGTCAAAATAATGAGAACTGGTGTTAAAACTGATATTGGCTACATAAAAGAGCGTACCGGCAAAATGCTGCGAAAAATAAAATAAAAATATGATAAATCTTAGAAAAATGACTAGGTTCAGAATCCCAATTTTGAGATTAAAATGATAAGCGTAGTTATTAATGCTAATACAGTGTCGTTTGAGTTAATGAGACTATAAATACTCATTTGCACATGATCCTAGGTCAGAAATCATACACCTTGCATGAGTTTTCTGAGCTTCTTGAGGCAGGCACCTTCTCCTTCACCAAGCCATTTCCTTTTCTTCATAAAATCCCTCAAGACATCATTTTTATGATGAATTCTTCACTTCTAGCCTCATAGACACTTGAGAGCAACCTTGGGGGTGTGAGGAAGATCACTTTTCTGAGAAGGCAAGCTGCTGTTTGTGGGGTTTTAGTGATGTGTTTCTGAGTTTAGGGAAGGGAGTCATATTCTTGGCACTTTGGTACTTCAAGGTGTCATTTTGGTAGAGAAAGGTCCAAGCTTGAAGTGCGTTTTCGTAGCTTTGAAGTGGCAGAATCATAGTGCTGTGTAGAGGACTCCTAGTGTGTTCCATTTTCAGAGTTTTGAGCCTTGGAGGTATACTATGACCACCTCTTTTGTATTTTCATGATTTTAGCTTGTTTAATCCATTAAAAAGTGAAACTTGAACCATTTGAGTTAAGGACTGAGAATCTAAGTCTAAAATATGTTAATGAACATCTGTTTACGGAGTCATTGGACTCCAAATCGCTTTAGGACCCTTAAAAACGGATTTATGCAGAAGACAGCTCGAATTTCTACATTCTGTCTGATAAGTATTCGAATACTTTTCGTGTAGTATTCGAATACTCACCAGCAGTAATCGAATACTCCTTGAAGGACTATTGGGATACTTTTCTGGGAAGAAAAGTATTCGGATACCAGTGAGGAAGTATTCGAATACTGTATAGTATTCGGATACTGAGGGTATTGTATTCAAATACCTTGTGGTATATATTCGGATACAGTGTGAAAAGTATTCGGATACCTTGTGGTATTTGGATACTTAAGTGAAAGTATTCGGATACTTTCTGAAGACTTGGAGTATTCGAATACTCATCGAGGAGTATTCGAATACCTCCTGCAGAAATTGCATGAAATCACCTAAAACAAGTTGGAAAGCCCTAATCACTTAATGGAACCTTAGACAATGAATATTAATGAGTATTTATTGTACAAACATATTGTGATTGTGTTGTTTGTGAGTTTAGGGAACAATTCATTATTCACTAAAAACATGTAATTAAGTAATAAATGGTCTAGACTTGTAATGAGCATATTATTTGCATGTAAGAATGAAATGTGGAATCATTAAGTGATTGAGTATTAATGATGTAAATGATTCCTGCTCTAGGTTTGCCTAAAGGACTTGGCACTTGAGGATTTATTGGAGCATACGTGTTTTACTGTTGGAGTTGGGCTTGTGATAAGTTCAGTGAGGTAAGCTCCTAGTTCTGGTTGCTCCTCTCTCTTGTGGCCCCACCATGATGGTGGGCATTATAGTTGTATTGTATGAAAGTATGTGGTATAACGTATATGTGCATTCTTTCACATTCATATAGATGTTATATGATTCTTGATGTTATGATGATGCACTGATGATATATGTTATGAGAATCCTGGCCAGTGATCATGGTATGTAGGCTGCCTATGACTTGACTCTGAGAGCTATTTCATACTAAGGTTGTGTTGACTGTCTATGGCTTGACCCTGGAGTCACACATGTGTAACCGTCTATGGCTTTGACCCTGGGGTTACATAAGGATGATATGATGATGCTATGTTTATGTTGTATGCCTGTATTATATGCTTTATATCTGACTTGTCATGCAGGAAGTGAGCTCAGGGGATTAGAGGATTCTCTAATAACCTTGAGCTTACTGAGATGTTGTTATCTCACCTCTTTTTGAGGACATCATTTCAGGTACCCATGGTAGCAGTGTGCAGTCTAAGGGCAAGGGCCGAGCTATGGATTAGTGGATTGTGACTGATGTTTATTTTATGTGGTTTCATTGTTATGTGGCATGTGTAGTGTTTAGACATGCCTAGTTAGTTTATTTTGAGACTATATGCTGTATGCAATAATGCTCAAGATTGTTATTAATTGAGCTTCTGGATTATGTCTGTAATTGTTACAAGTTATGTTAGATGCATATGATGAGGACATATAGACATGATGCATGGATTTATTAATTTGGGCACAGAGCCATTATGTATGTACTGACCCTAGATGCGGATTGCAATCCGTGTGGGACTTGCAAGCTGTCTGTTATATAATTATGTCTATCAGGTGTACTTGTGTGTGAGATTCTTATCTCTCAGTTATCCGTTAAACAGCCGTTATGCTATCCGTGAGACTCTGGCAGGAATGACACTTGTTGTCATATCCGGTTAATCAATGACCACTAATACTAGTTAATGGGATTAATTAGTAGTTGTATGTTTAGATTTACGCTTTCACAGTATTTCATGTGAACGTTTTTTAGAAATGTTTTCAGAAAATATTTTGGAAAAAGTTTATTCGTATTTTTACGAGACGTTTTATTAATCTTTAAATAAAATCTTGCGTTGTGTAAGCTATAATATCATGATGTTAACAACCGGAGTACTACAGGGTGTTACAAACCCTGATCGGATAAATTCATCATAATCCTTGTGATCTATGAATAGACATAAGGTAATTGTGCAATCTTTAGATTTTTGATCTTAATGCATGTTTTCTTTAGGAACAACCGGGGAACTAGGATTCTTTCAAGATCACATAGAATAGGGTAATAAGGGATTGAGCCTTAATTAAATTAGAAAGAATTGATTGGCATTATATTAGGAGCGGGTTCTTGATTGTTTAATTCATAGCGTAAAGAGGAGATTAGAGAAAATCGAAACTCTAACTATGTTTTTTCTTAATTATCGAAAACACTTTTCTTTTTAATTGCTTGTATTTTATTTCTGAATTCTTATGCTCTTGATCAATCTTTATTTTAAATTCAAAGTTTCTTATAATTGTTTGTTCAAATAAAGCGCGAATAGTGAACTAGTGATTAAAACTTAATTCTTGTGGAAACAATCTCATACTCACGTACACTTTTATTACAATTATGATCGGTGCATTTACCGAAGTCATAACAATAAGCAAGATGGATTTCAGAAATCAACAATGTACACACGGTTAAGCTATGCATGTTCAATTGTGCATGCACTGGGAAGGAAAAAACCCCTCATAAGTCAACTTGGCGTGAGTCATTAATTAGGCCCAGGCACAATTTTCGGAAGTTAAACTAAGCTAATTTTTGTTAGACCAAGAGGGACGTGAATTTCTGTTCAAAAATATCAATTGAACTTCTCCAATTTTTATCTATGCTAATCATTAAACTATAATACTATATTTGTCTTATCACTTCCATTTCTATATATTATATATTTTTATATAAATTTAGGTTAATCCATTGAATTAATAATTCAAAGTGATTTATTGATTTAGTATCAGAAACAAGTCGATGACTAATTCACTGGCTAATGTCTTTCTTGAAATTTCAAATTATTCAATAATGAACTTTATAAACACTCTCATATTATCATACTTTCCTGTTTTCCACCTACCCCTAATACCATGATATTTTTATCACACAGAGTCAGTTGGATCTTTTCTATTTTTCATACAAATTCAATATTATCTATTTGTCAAATTATATTTTCTAATCCTTGTTAGTAAATCAAAAATATAATTTAATATTTTATCCTAATTAATCATATAAAATTATAATAGAAATTCATGTGAAATGATAGTTATTATATTATTATATATGACTAATTACAGATAATATTATCTACCTTGCGTGATCTAGAAGTTTTTAACCTATAATTTAAATAATTAAAATTGCCGTGAATAAGCTTTAATTAATTAAATAATATAAATCACTAAATATTCTCTATTATATTATTGCATAACCATAAATAATAATATTAAATAATTAACCAATATTAATATTAATCATCTTAATATTACATATATAAGGTGGCATGAATTAATATATATAATAATAAATCATTCAAATACATAACATAAAATTGTTATTAGTTTAGTTGGCAAAATACAATCTAGTTATATAGTTGATTATGGGTTCAATTCCCATTGCAAATTTTGATTACCAATAAAATTTCAAATGACACAAGGGTCCAGATTCTAAAATCTGAGGCCCAATCTTAACTAATAAAAGTAACGCTAAAATCACGCTAAGATGGAATTACAGTAATAACAGTAGCACACTTCATGTAATTTACCAATTTCACGAAAATCAAAACATAGGAAAGTGAAATTGTCTTTAATAATTCCAAATGTGAAATTCCCTAAAGTCGACCATTCACAGAAAGCAATTGTGAAGTGAAAACAGTAACAAAACCCGTGAGTAACAAATCCGTGATTCACGCACATTAGCAACGAAAAACGAAATATAGCGTGTACTGAAAAAAAATACTAAATATAGCACTAACGTGACAACATCAGTGTCACGAATCTAACCAACTGGGATGTCTTCAGTCATATACCAGGTATATATATAAGAGTTAATCCCATCTCAAATTTTTTCATGTGTTGTTTCTGCTTAATGGTTTATGAAAAGATTGAAGGTGCGTGGCTTGAAGATGGTAAGGGTCTAACCAACTGGGATGTCTTCAGTCATATACTAGGTATATATATGGTGATTTCATTGCAACTAACTTGTTCTGTTAAAATACACTTGTTTGGGAAACATGTAGCAAGAAAACTATATTATGTTGAAAAATTTTCAGGAAATATCAGAAATAATGAGAATGGAGACATAGCAGACGACCATTATCACCGCTACTATGGTTCAAAAAACTATATTAGTTGTTCCAAAAATTTGTTGTTGTTCACTATCTTAATTATTGACTTGAACAGGAAGACATAGAGTTGATGCATTCTCTTGGAGTAATATATCCTTCTAATTTTCTGCTTAACATTGTCTTTATGAACTGTAACACAGGTGGAATATTTGCGGACGTTAATACAAATGGGATTATGTTCTACAATAATATTATAGACAATATCTTAAGGAAATGTTAAGTGACATTCTACATTTAATTCTGATTTGAAGAAAGCCAAATGTTGTAATATAATATGTGTGGAATTCACACATGATGACATGATTATTCATGGATTTAACTTTTTGACATGGTGTGCATAATCCAGGGATTCAGCCTTTTGTGACCATAAAGCATCATGACATCCCACAAGAACTTGAAGACAAATATGGTGGTTGGCTTAGTCCCCTAATACAGTAAATCCTCTGCTCTTATCCTTTGAGTATTTCGAATGAATTGTCCTTTCGATTATTCTGAGTTGTGAAATTTTAAGACAAGCTTTATGCTTTCTTTTTAGGAGAGATTTTGTTCATTTCTCTGAGATTTATTTTAAGAGCTTCGGAGACAAGGTTAAGTACTGGACTACCAACAATCAGCCAAACATAGAAGCAGATACATCATATTTAAGGGGAAAATTCCCACCAGGTCATTGTTCACCACCTTTTGGAAATTGTTATGCAGGTAACTTTGATGTTGAATGTTATTCCTCCTGCATATATAGTTTTCTAAATTAAAAAGAGCAAGCATTTAATCCATTTTGAAAGAAAAAAGCTTATATTTGTTATAAAGTTAAGAAACCATGCTCAGATCTTCTCTCACTGAATTTCTGGTGTTTTTGTAGAAAAAAGTACTAGGAAAGAATTCATTCAAAAGCACAAAAGAAAGCAAAGGGTAGTGTTTCCGCGCTACAAGTGCGAGAATGACGCTATCAGCGCCAGAAAGTTTTTCAACATAGAAATGTCGCGCTACAAGCGCGAGATTCGCGCTAGTAGCACGAGAAGTCCCTCAAAACACAGTGTTGTGCGCTACAAGCCTGAGTTCCGCACTAGTAGTGCGAGATTCAGATGTCTTTGTTATATTTCCTGCGTAGTAGTGCGGGAAGCACGTGACTATTTTAAATAGATATCAAATTATATTTTAAGGAGGATTCTACACCAAGATTTGATGAAGATTTGGGCAATTTGACATTTAGTTATAAAAAATGAATGTAAACCCTTATTGGTAATCTTTGACCGGAGACTTTTGGAGAGATCAAGAAATTAAGGGAATTCTTGGAGGCATATGCTGGAGATCAAGATTTCAGAGAAATTGTAGACTGAAGACCTTTGATTCTTCTTCTTCTCCTTCTTTTTCTTCGTCTTAATGAATTCTTTTTACTTCTTTATTTTGTTTAAGCCAGCTATGTCTGGCTAGTTTTCTTTTGTAGTTAGGGTAACAGATCTGATGTGAACCCCTTTGGTATTTGAATTGTGTCTATAATTCTTTTATTTCAATTAGTTTTATTTTACCTTGAATGAAAATTCTATATCCTTATTAGAACTGATCACTCGTATAGGGTTTTAAGAGTTAGAGCCTCTGAAACACGGACACACGATTCTTGAAGAAATTTGCGTGTCTGACACGTGTCGGACACCGACACGTTCGGACACGCTAGGACACGCGTGCGACACACAGTCAACTTTTTGGGAGACGTTGACTAGTGGGACACGCGAATTTGACCGAATCCGACACGCAGTCAACGATGTGGACACGTTTTGATTTTTTTTTGTAAAATAAAAATAAAATTACAATTAAAAAAATATTTAATAAAAATTAAAAACTACATAAGGACGAGTTCGAACACTGTTCTTCTCTTCGTCGTCGGACCTCAGTACTGGCTCAAGTGCTGTCACTGCGGTTGCTTCGCGGGTTCAGCTCTTGCCGGAATCTTCTTCAGCGTCGGTGGAAGAAGTGAAACGGCGTCGCTATTATGAAGGAAAACTGAGAAGAAGGGTCGGATCTGGCCATTGTGGAAGATCTCATCAGCAAAGAAAAGAACGCTTCTTCACGTTGAAGATGGAGAGAAAATGAAAGGGAAATGGAAGAGGAAAAGGTGGTGGTGTTCGGATCTGGTTTTGGGAAGTTGGAGAGAGAGAGGTACCGATAAATAAGTTGAAGAGAGGAAAAGATCTGGTTTTGGTTTTTTTATTTTAGAAATCAAAGCCCACCAGCTATTATTTTAGAAATCAAAGGTCAGCTAAAATCTGAAAGGTTATTCACTAGTTGCACGATAAATAATTATCCTGCACTATTTCGAGAGCATAACACTTAATTTAAAAGAATAAGGGAGTTGTCTAAAAAAAAGGACTTTTTTAAAATGCATTTTTAATAAATATAAATATATATAGATATAATATTTATAATAAAAAAGTTTGTAAATATTACCTTCTCTCAGCTAATGAAGATCACTAAACGTATTATTCAAATAAAATTTTGTTGTGGGAACATGCATGAATTTTCGCTAAAACTTTAATAATTAAAAGTAATTCAATTACTTAATACAAAAAAAATAAAAATTAATTGAACTGTGTAATCATAAGTAAAATAATTTTTCTATTTTTCTACATTTTACACTCTTGGGATGTTCTATTTTTTTTTATAATTATGTTATGAAATTTGAATATTTGATTAGTATATGAGTTATTGTCAGTTGTTATATGTATTAAATGTAAACTATATTATATATATTAAAAATATTATTTAATATCAAAACGTGTCCCAACGTGTCAGAATTTAGCATTTTTTAGAATTAACGTGTCGTGTCGTGTCGTGTCTCGTGTCCCGTGTCCGTGTCCGTGCATCATTGGTTAGAGCTCACAATAGACATATTGAGGTTTTAATTCTGACTGGGGTAAAATAACAATTTATGCATGATCTAGACATAGGCTTGTAAGAATCGCAGACTTCGTAATTCATTGAACTTAATGCTTAATTCAATAAGGATTATTAAGACATTAGAATTTTAATTGGGTTTAAGGGTTAAATACACTAAGGGCATGTTTGGTGCATATTATAGGATAAGCCCTGATAGTATAAGACCTGATAGTATAAGGCCTGATTGTATAAGACCTGATTGAATTTTAATACTATTAAGCGTTTGGCACAGTATTGTATAAAATAATATATTGTATAAGATAATATCATCTAGTATTTGGTAATGCATTGTATAACTATATATGATAAAAATAAATATTTTTAATAAAAATATAAAGAATTTATATAATTCTTCAAAAAATGTCATATGATATTAATTTTTATAAAAATTTATTGATCAGTGGGTCCAAAATATAAATTAATTTTTATAAAATTAAAAATATTCAATATTTTAAAAATTAATATATTGAAAAATAAATTTTATTTTAATAGATTAATATTAAAATAATATATTAATTTTTGAGAATTGCATTGGTCAACGATGTTAATACATCAATCTCTTATCAGGTCTTATCCCTCACCTTTAGGCCGGATTAAGTTATACATCATTTTGATGTATTAAGGGATTATGCTGTATAAGTTTATACTATACGGTAGTCACACCAAATAACTGAAAATGTCATAACGTATAGTATAAGCTTATACTATCATGCCTTATACGTCACACCAAAGAGGCCCTAAGACATTAGGGTTTAACCAATTAATTTAAAGAAGATGAATTGTCTGAACCATTGAGATAATTCATTATAAGAATTAATTCAGATTAATAAGGGGGATCAAAGGTGAAGTGTGCCCTAGCTATAGTTCTTTATTATAATTCGTATATTGTTCTTCAATCGTTCTTGCATGTTTTAGATTGTTCTTGCAATTACTTTTCGTTCTTCTTTTATTTTAAATCAACAATTATTTTCAACAACCAAATTGAATTGTCCAAATTAAAGGGAATAATTATAATAGTACTTGGTGCCTTAATCCTCGTGAGACGATACTCTACTCACATTTTTATTACTTGAAACGATTAGTATACTTGCCAAGATCGCAACATTGAACCTCTTATTGCTATGCACAACATGATATTGTCACATGCCATGGCCGTTGACATATACCGCAAGCATTTTCAGGGAACCAAAACTGGCCTCGAGACTCTTATTGATATAGTTTTTCCCTTTTCTTGCTTAGGGGAGGATGGGGGGTTAAGAGCTAAATTAGATGTTTAATTTGGAAAATGTCAATTCTCATTCAGGAAAAATGTAATAATCGAATAAAATAAATAAGTAAAAAATAATAAAATAAAATAACATAAAATAAAATAATAATAATAATAATAAATTAATTATTTTTGGAACAATCTATGAGCTACTAAGAACAAATATTTTTATTAGGTCACAAACAATTTAAAACTAAATTAAAATAACTTTAGGGTGTATATTATTCTTGAATTATAATATTTATATGTATACTATATCTTATGTATCTTAAAAATAAAATAAACTAAAATAAAATATAATAAAATAAAAGTGTTTAAGACAAGTTAAAATAATTGTATATTTTATGTATAATATTTTTATTAATGTATATTTAAAAAAAAAAAAAAGAATAGTACATGGCAAGGAGGGGGCCACGTGGAACACCCCCTCCAAGCCACAATTGCAAAAATTTTCAATAAAGATGATGTAACTTCCCTGATGCAAGGTTAATGATGTAAGAGAATTAAAAAAATAAATAAATGAAAAAAAAGAGAATCTAATGACTCAGCCTGCAATATGGATATATATAAAGGTAGCCATCCAATGTTATTTTCATTTGGTCAGTAAAGAAGAAAAGTTACGAAGAGGAGAAATTATAGAGAGAGGAGAGTATACGAAAAAAGAAGAAGAAGGAGAAGACGAAGGCATAATAGAGAAAAGGTAGTATTGAGAGAGTAAAACTTTCTCTCTATTTTCTTCCTTTTAGTTATATTTTTATTTATTTATCTTTAGAAAATTGTAATGCTGTTATTCTGCCAAAATATTTTTATTTCTTCTCTTATTAAATGTTATTGCATCTATATTCTTACCTTAATCTTTCTTTTAATTCTGTTTTACCTCTTATGTTACTAGGATATTCATTAAATTTTAAATTTTTCTTAGTAGTAAGATACAACAAATTATTTGGTACCAAATAAATAATAAAAGGATGTGTAAATTTTAACTGTACGCTACTACTGTGAATTGATTCTCAAAAGTTTGGGATCAGATAGTTAGGATAAGGGACGCCTTATCATGGCTTGAGCTCCGCCATATCATAATTTTTTTCACAAGTAGGAGACCCACAAAATTGGGAATTAAATTGGCTTCAGTTAAATATTACATTATTTATTATTATTATTATTATTATTATTTCAGTTATAAACTAACTTGGGAGATTGATATTTTCCATTATTATGGCTGGAAATGGTTATAGTTCAAACATCACAATATTACTGAGAATTATCTCACATTGTTTTATTTTGTGCTAACCTTTCCAGAAAATCATCATGCCTAACTTATCTTTTTCTGGAGAAGGATGGACTGTGAATATTTATTTTTATGACGATCATTGAGAATTTTACATAACAGTTGGAAACCAAGGAGCAGCAGCTATACTCCATGCAGACAGTGTGGAGTCCTATACCTATAGGCTAGACTAGATTGAGAAGTATGTGATGAATAAACAGTGTAACATGATGTAGTAGGAGTGTAACATATGTGTGGAACCGATGTAAAATATTTGGAATGTAAGATATTTGTACTAACTTACATCCATGTGTAATAAATGAAGGATGTTAGTGTTTCCAGTTAATCTTTCTAGATTTATTTTCTCATTTATTTTGGTTATTTATTATTATTTCTAAATATATTTATTTACTAAGAGGATATTACATTTTATGGTATCAGAGCAACGGTTCAGATAAATAAAAGACCTAAACTATTATAGTTGCTTGGTATTTTGTCATAGATCATGCATATTTTGAGTTATTTTAATGAGCCTGATCAACTTACTATCATAAAACAATATATGTAGATCTACGGCAGGTACAAGGCAAGTATCTTCTTCAACTTCTGAACCAGAAATTAACCCAGTAACAGATGCATTTACACGAGTGGCAGAAGCTCTTAGAGAACAAACGGTGACTAATCAACAAATTATTCAGGAGTTGAGGGAGGATCGTGTGATCCGAAAACACACCCATAACTCTGAAAGTGAGAATGGACCTAGAACTGCAGATACTCAGGGAGGACTTAATTCTGATTATAAAGGACTCATTGAATTTCGTAAGCATAAACCTTCCACTTTTTGTGGAGACTATAACCCTGAGGCAGCCATGGAATGGGTGAAAGAACTTGAGAAAATATTCCTAGTAATGGACTGTCCTAATACTCATCGTGTAAATTTTTCCACATACTTGTTGATTGGAGAAGCAGAGCATTGGTGGACAAATACCAAAAGATATTTCCAAAGCCAAGGAACAGAGATTACTTGGACAATCTTTAAAGATGCCTTTTTAGAAAAATAATTTCCTCAGAGTATAAGAAACAGAAAAGAAATAGAATTCCTTGAACTGAAACAAGGGAACATAACTGTTGGAGAATATGTGGCAAAATTTGAGGAATTATCCAGATATTCTAATTATATACAAAATCAACCTAATGAAGAATGGCTGACAACTAAATTTGCATATGGACTAAAACCTGAACTAAAAAGTATGATAATAGGACATCAAATCAGGAATTTCTCATCATTAATAAATAGGTGCAGAGACATTGAAGCAAGCATGAAGGAAGCTGAGGAGGGAAGAGAGAAAGACAGAGTTTCAAGCCGGAGAAAGAACGATGACAACAACAAAGGGAGATTTTCACACGCACAAAACTCAGGGAATAACTTTGTTAACAACAGAGGAAGGAAGAATATAGGACAGATGAATTCTCAGATTCAGGTATGTCCAAAATGCAAAAAGAATCATGCTGGAGAATGCCTAGCAGGAAGAGGTGTATGCTTTAAGTGTGGAAAGCCTGGACATATGCTGAGGCAGTGTCCTCAGAATTAAGGTCAGAATTCATCAACTCAACCTGCAACCAGAGGAAGAGTTTTCACTCTTGGTGGTCAGGAAGCGGCTCAAACTTCAAATTTGGTTCAAGGGGTTGGTCTAATACAAGATTCTCTTATAACTGTACTGTTTGATTATGGGGCTACTCATTCTTTCATATCTTTATCTTCTACTCAAAAGTTAAAGTTACCAATATCCATTTTATCCTCTTATCTTGAAATCTTTCTTCCTACTGGAGAGAAAATTACCACATTTCAAGTCTGTAAAAATTGTCCTCTTCAAATTGAAGGGAAAGAGTTTAAAATAGATTTAGTTTGTTTGCCTATGATTGGCATTGATGTAGTCCTTCGTATGAATTGGTTGTCTGCAAACTGTGTGGTCATTGATTGTCATAATAAAAAGATAATTTTCACAAAAGAGTCAGAATTACCAAATGAATTTTTATTCTTGTCAACTTCCCAACTTAGGAAAAATTTGTTAGATGGAGCACAAGGGTATGTTCTCTTTAATCTTTCAGAAGCAAAGGCTAAACCTGATGCAAACAGTATCCCTATTGTCTCTGAATACTCAGAGGTTTTTTCGGATGAAATTCCAAGTTTACCCCCAAATAGAGAAATTGAATTTTCCATTGACCTAATACCTGGAGTAGGGCCAATTTCTATTGCACCCTATAGGATGTCACCTATAGAGCTTGTTGAACTAAAGAAACAATTAGAGAAACTGCTATCAAAACAATTCATCAGACCAAGTGTGTCTCCTTGGGGAGCACCAGTACTCTTTGTCAAGAAAAAGGATGGAAGTATGAGGTTGTGTGTGGATTATAGGCAACTAATCAAAGTTACCATAAAAAATAAATATCCTTTGCCTCGGGTAGTTGACCTTTTAGATCAACTGAGAAGAGCCACAATATTTTCTAAAATAGATTTGAGGTCAGGATATCACCAGATTAGAATTAAGACTGAAGATATTCCAAAAACAGCCTTTAGGACTAGGTATGGACATTATGAATATCTGATAATGCCTTTCGGGTTGACAAATGCTCCAGCAGTATTTATGGATTATATGAATAGAATTTTTAGACCTTACCTAGATCAATTTGTAGTGGTGTTTATAGATGATATTTTAATATATTCTAGGAATAAAGAAGAGCATAAGGAGCATTTAAGGATAGTATTACAAATTTTGAAAGATAAGCAATTGTATGCCAAACTTTCAAAATGTGAATTCTGGATGGAAGAAGTTAAGTTTTTAGGGCATGTTATTTCAAAAGAAGAAGTGACAGTTGATCCTAGTAAAATTGAGGCTGTAATACACTGGGAGAGACCTAAGACTATCATTGAGATTAGGAGTTTTCTAGGATTGGCAGGATATTACAGAAGATTTATTAAGGGATTTTCACAACTAGTGTTACCTTTAACTAGGTTAACTAGAAAAGGAGTTCCTTTTGTTTGGACACAAGAATGTGAAGATTGTTTTCAAGATTTGAAGAATAAATTAACATCTGCACCAATTTTAATAATCCTTGATCCTTTAGGAAAATTTGAAATTTACAGTGATGCATCTAAGAAGGGATTAGGATGTGTCTTAATGCAAGAAAGAAAAGTTGTAGCTTATGCATCAAGACAATTGAGACCATATGAGGAAAATTATCCAACTCATGATTTAGAATTAGCCGCAGTAGTTTTTGCCCTTAAAATTTGGAGGCATTATTTATATGGAGTCAAGTTTGAGGTTTTTAGTGATCATAAGAGTCTTAAATATTTATTTGACCAAAAAGAATTGAATATGAGGCAAAGAAGGTGGATGGAATTTTTGAAAGACTATGATTTTGAACTTAAATACCATCCAGGAAAAGCTAATGTGGTAGCTGATGCTTTAAGCATAAAATCTCTTCACATGTCACATTTAATGATCAAAGAAATGGAGTTGTTGGAAAAATTTAGAGATATGAAATTATCTGTGACTGTATTGCCTCGAAGTTTAGGTATTAGTGAAATAAAAATAGATAATGAGTTGATAGATAAAATTAGAATAGCTCAACAGGAAGATTCTAGTTTAGAAAAATCTTTGAAACATTAAGGATTTACCAAAGGGGAGGATGATTTGGTGAAATTTCAAGGAAGGATTGTTGTACCTAAGAAGGAAGAATTAATGAAAGAAGTTTTGAATGAGGCACATAGCAGTAAGTTTACAGTTCACCCTGGCTCCACCAAAATGTATCAAGATTTGAAAAAGTTATTTTGGTGGCCAGGAATGAAAAAGGATATTGCTGAGTACGTTTCAAAATGTCTAGTTTGTCAAAAAGTAAAAATTGAACATCAAAAGCCTTCAGGATTACTTCAACCATTAGACATACCAGAATCGAAGTGGAAAAGTGTAGCCACTGATTTTGTGATGGGTTTACCAAAAACCCAAGAGGGATACGATGCAATTTGGGTAATCATTGATCGATTAACCAAATCTGCTCATTTTCTACCAATTAGGGCTCAATATTCTATTGAGAGGTTAGCCCAACTATATATAAAAGAAATTGTCAAACTTCATGGGGTACCTCTAAGTATTGTGTCAGATAAAGACCCTAGATTTACTTCTAGATTTTGGGGATGTTTACAGCAAGCCTTTGGAACTAAGTTAAGACTTAGTACAACATATCATCCTCAGACTGATGGTCAAACTGAGAGAACCATTCAGACTTTAGAGGATATGCTAAGAGCTTGCATCCTTGAATAAGGAGGTAGTTGGGTTAGATATATGCCATTAATAGAGTTTGCTTATAATAATAGTTACCACTCTAGTATTGGAATGGCTCCATATGAAGCGCTCTATGGAAGAAAGTGTAGATCTCCAGTGTGTTGGTATGAAAAAGGGGAAAAACAGTTATTGGGTCCGGAATTAGTCCAAGAAACCTCGAGACAAATTCAAATGATAAAGGAAAACCTTGAAAAGGCACAAAGCAGACAGAAAAATTATGTTGATAACAGGCGAAAACCTTTGTCTTTTGAAGAAGGAGAACATGTCTTTCTTAAACTTTCTCCTACCACAGGTGTAGGCAGAACCCTCAAAGTTAGAAAATTGAGACCTAGATATATTGGTCTGTTTCAAATACTCCGAAAAATAGGGCCAGTTGCTTATCAACTTGCTCTTCCGCCTCATCTTTCCAATCTTCACAGTGTTTTTCACGTTTCTCAACTTAGAAAGTATGTCCCAGATCCTTCTCACATTCTCGATATAGACTCAGTACAAGTTAAAGAGAATCTAACTATTAGTACCAGACCAGCTCAAATCCTTGAAAAAAATTTAAAGCAACTGCGAAATAGGTTAATCCCGTTAATTAAAGTACGTTGGGAAGGACTTTCACCACACGAAGTCACATGGAAAAAGAAGAAGAGTTACGACAGAGTTATCCAGAATTTTTTTAGAAGGTATGTCTAAATTTTGCGGGCAAAATTTTATTTAAGATAGGAGAAATGTAATAACCAAAAAAAAAAATATATATATATATATAATAATAATTATCAAAGTAATAATGTATAAAATAATAATAATAATAATAATAATAATAATAGTAATAATAATGAATAAATAAATTAGTATTATTAATATTAATATGTTTGTCGTAAATAAATAAATTAGTATTAGTAATAAATAAATATATATTAAATTATGTATACTTTATTTATTTATTTTTTTATAATCAGTAAATTATTTTTAGTTAAATATATTACTACACCCTCCGAATACTAATAAATAATAATAATATAGTTACTATTTATTAAGAATTAAATAAATATTATTAATTTAAATTAATACATAGGATAACTATTAGATATATATGGCAAGGAGGGGGCCACGTGGAACACCCCCCTCCAAGCCACAATGACAACTTACTAGAATGTGAGGAATATGATGATGTCAATTTGGTGAGGTAGTAAAATGATGTATAAAAAAAAAAAAAAAGGGGGAATGAATCAGCTTCTTATCGTAACTATATATATAGGTAGTCTTGTCTTTCATGTGGTTAAAAAAAGAAAGAAAGATTGAGAAATTGTGCGGCTGTTAGAAAAAAAAGTAAGAAAAAGTGAGAAAATTTTACATAGAGCAACAATAGAGGAAGAAGACACGGATAGAAAAATTGAAAGGTAGTATTGAGAGAGTAAAACTTTCTCTCTATTTTCTTCCTTTTAGTTATATATTTTTTTTTTTAGAATATTGTAATGTTGTTATTCTGCCAAAATATAATTTTTATTTCTTCTCTTTTTAAATATTATTTGCATCTATATTCTTATCTTAATCTTTCTTTTAATTCTGTTTTACCTCTTATGTTATTAGGATATTCATTAAATTTTAAATTTTCCTTAGTAGTAAGATTTAACAAATTATTTGGTACCAAATAAATAATAAAAGGAAGTGTAAATTTTAACTGTATGTTACTACTGTGAACTGACCCTCAAAAGTTTGGGATCAGATAGTTAGGATAAGGGACGCCTTATCATGGCTTTAGCTCCGCCATATCATAACTTTTCACAAGTAGGAGACCCACAAAATTGGAAATTAAATTGGCTTCAGTTAAATATTACACTATTTATTACTATTATTATTATTTCAGTTATAAACTAACTTAGGAGATTGATATTTTCCATTATTATGGCTGGAAATGGTTATAGTTCAAACATCTCAATATTACTGAGAATTATCTCACATTGTTTTATTTTGTGCTAACCTTTTCAGAAAGTCATCATGCCTAACTTATCTTTTTCTGGAGAAGGATGGACTGTGAATGTTTACTTTTATGACGATTGTTGGGAATTTTACATAACAGTTGGAAACCAAGGAGCAGCAGCTATATTCCATGCAGACAGTGTGGAGTCCTATACCTATAGGCTAGACTAGATTGAGAAATATGTAATGAATAAAAGTGTAACCTGATGTAGAATGAGTGTAATATATATGTGTGGAACCGATGTAAAATATTTAGAATGTAAGATATCTGTACTAACTTACATCCATGTGTAATAAATGAAGGATGTTAGTGTTTTCGGTTAATCTTTCTAGATTTATTTTCTCATCTTTTTAGTTATTTATTATTATTTCTAAATATATTTATTTATTAAGAGGTTGTTACATTACTGGCTTGGGCCTGGTATTGCTGTTGGGGGATGAGCTTGAGCTCTTTGTCCTTCGTCCTTCACGTTGCTCCAGATGGGGGGTACCTGCGAAGACACTCTGATGCTTAAGTCAGTATCAGAGGCAGGTTTTTATATTGTTAAAGTAAAGGATGATCGTACCTTGGTGGTACAACGTATGTTTATATAGTAGTCGAGATGTATGCTTGTAGGATGCCTTTCTTCATAGTGAAGGCAAAGGTTCCTTGGTACCAACGTAGTGTGGCTGTCAGTGTTTAAATGTTGAGGTGCTTGCCGCCATGGTGTCTAGTAGTAGAGTCATAGCGAGCTGGAGTTGTCCGTAGTTTACTGGTGTGAGGGCGCGGTGGTGTTGCCTTGGCCCTTAAGTTTACTGTCTGTAGAAGGTATCCTGTTGCGTGGGGAACAAGTACATCCTGCATGTCGTGAGGAGGTATTGCGCCGTGTAGGACGCAATAGGGTCATCGTGCTGGTGTGCCGCGATAGGGTTATCGCGCTGGTGTACCGCGACAGGGTTATCGCGTCTGTGTCTGCCCTTTATGCCTTTATTCTGGGTCCTATATGGGCTTGGGCTTTCATGTGTTTATTGGGCTCTGGTTATGCCTATATTATATCTGGATCAGATGATAAAGCTAAATCCCCATAATTGCAGATTATTAACTTATACGAATTATAGAAGTTACACATTATTTCTTTGAAGGTTATGGACATCTACATTAATATTTTTTATAATACTACCGATTGGATTTCGATTGAGATAATATCTCATTAAAACCATACTTGGGAAAAAAATACTATGAGAAAAAATCCTAGTGAAGAAAAAGAGTATATATTTCTAGCAATATGTATCGTAAGCCGACTCATTAAAAACCTTATAAGAAAAACTCAATGGGACAAAACTTTGGTAAAGGAAAAAAGAGTGCAACATATTTTACTCCCTTGATGATAACATCATTTGACATCTTTGAGTCTACGAATCTCAATCTTATATACCAGCTTCTCAAAACTTGAAGTATGCGACATTTTAGTAAGTAAATTTGTCAAATTCTCTCTTGAACAAATTTGCTGAATGCCATGAAATAGTTATGCTTCCGCGCTTGAACAAATTCTCTTAGTTGATTGCGTTTCTGTTATAACCGTCGGTGTCTCCTGCCATGAGCTTCCCTGCCGACCCAACAAGTGATATCAAAGCCAATGGTGAATTGATTTTTGATTTTATGATCCGAGTATTTGAAAAATCCAAGTGTGAATAGATAAAATCTCACATTGGTTAAGAATTGATTGAATGAGCGCTATACAAGTGACTCATACACCTAATGTTTTAAAAGTTTTGAATTTGATTATGATGTATAAAGTTACTTAACTTCACTACTCACTTAATTCATCGATAACGGTCTCTTCCTTCCATATGCTCGCTTGCCAGCCCAACAAGAGAAAATGGATCACTTACACAAGAGGCAAAAAGCAGAGGAAGAAATAGAGATTGTGTCTTTTGAATGTGAACAAGTACTTGGGTTCTTTTCACAATTACAGAAAACAAATTGATAAGGTGGCTTTGCCCAGGATCCTTTTAGTAATTTCATACTTAAAAGTAATTGTGCTTTATACTTATTTAAATATACGGAATTTGGTTTCCGAAAAAAATATATGTACGGAATTTGGATTTGATGTAGCCTAGATGAGCTTTTCAGCTTTAACAATGGCTAGTGTAATTAAAGTTTCTATTAATAAAAATAAAACGAGTAAAGCCTATATGCTACCTAGGCCTCTTCCGCTCAACAACTATTTGGCCATTTGTTTTTTATTCAGGAAGATTCAAAAGTCCACATCGAGATCAATTTAAAATTTTTATAAGGAGAATTTAGTTGCTTTTTTAATCCCCTTTACCGGAATTAAATGAGATGGCGCAATTGATAAATTGACGGAGAAATGAAAAAAAAAAAAAAAAAAAAAAACTTCAAAAGTCCATATATAAAAAAAATTATGTTAGGATGATTGTTATAAGAAAAGTACTACTCTCATTTTACATGAGATAATTATCTCATGTTATCTCACTTCGAAAATCTCACTCACTTTTTTTTTATCCTTTAATAGTGGGCTCAATGTGACTTCTCTCTGTAACATGAGAGAATTACTCTCAAATAAAATGACAGTAATATTCCCTTGTTATAATTGTGTAACATTGTATTTAAAAGTGAAGCTGACATTAAGTAAAATCAATTTTAGTGATGTTGCTTCTGCATTGTTTGAATGTGAATTGGTAAATCACTGCATTACCTTCATTTATTTTTTTTTCTTTAATTTTCTTTAAATTTATATTTATTATGAAAATAAAAAATAATTAAAAGAAAGATAGTAAATATAACAGAAAAAATAAGGAAAAGAGGAGAGTAATATTTCTATTTTATTGTGATGCACCTGACAAGCTTTAGTATATATGAGCTCTATTTATAAACTATCAATCACTTACAATGAAATAGATGATAAAGCTAAATCCTCATAATTGCATATTATTAACTTATAGGAATTATAGAAGTTACACATTATTTCTTTGAAGGTTATGGACATCTACATTAATATTTTTTATAA